AAGCGCGAAAGAAATGTCATCGCCTTCAATGGTCCTGAATCGAAGAAGCAAGTGGGCTCTGAGCGATTGTATGATGACCGCGTAGTGGTTTCCAAAGCTTTACCACCTGAGTTAGCCGAAGTTGTTTCTAATATGAAAATGCGCAGAATTGGTCGCCCAAAAGACCGCAAAACTCGCCCTCTGTTGATCACTACGCCTTCGGTTGATGATGCAAGAAGAATTCTCAAAATAAAACATACAGACAACAGAGACAACATAAATTTTAAACCAGATTTGACTCGGTGCCAGCAGAATCATCTTAACAGCCTACGGGAAGAGCTCGAGGCTCTTAAAAATAATGATGAATCAAACAAGACAATCAGGTATATAAATGGTATCCCAAGAATTGTGAATGTGCCTGGATTTCGAAGCGACGAGGAGAACCACTAAGGCCAAACAAGATCTGCTAGTTTACTACCAGAACGCAAGGGGGCTTAGAACTAAACTTAAAGATTTTTTCACTATAACAGCTAGTTGGCAGTGTGATGTACTATGTATTTCGGAGTCTTGGTTGCATCCGTCTATTTTGGATGGCGAAATTGTTGACAGTACGTATAATATCTATAAGAGGGACAGGGATCAAACGACCAGCATACATGAGCGCGGTGGCGGTGTCTTCATTGCTGTCAAGCGCCGTATATCGGTTGAACAATTAACAATAAGCAACAATCACCTGGAGCAAGTATTCGTTAAAGTTAAAGGCCACGGTGGTGGTGATATCATCATACTGTGTGTTTATATTCCACCAAAATCACGTTCTGATGTATACTCCAGTCATATAGCTACCATTTCTTACCTTAGAAATAAATATCCAAACAGCAGTCTTATGATAATCGGTGATTATAATCTTAATAGTAGTCTACCACAAGTTGAGTGTGAGTCAATATTGTATGAAAAATTTCTTCTCTCTGGATGCCTCCAGCAAAACAATACCTACAATGAGCACGGACGAATGTTGGATCTATGCTTCAGCGATTTAAACCTCTTGATTAACAAGGCGGATCCCATTATCCAGGAGGATGCATATCACCCCGCGCTGGTGGTGCAACATAAATTCCGTGCAAATCTGAAGCAAAATGACGTTCCTACTTATGTATTTAAAAAGGCAGACTATGCAGCGTTGAATAGCTTCTTCCTGGGCGTAAACTGGATAGACTTATATAAGCTGGAAAATATCGATGACAAAGTGAGCTGGTTTTATGAGATTGTGTACTCGGGCATTGCTCAATTTGTCCCAATATTTGTTAAGAAGAATAATGAATACCCTTGTTGGTTTTCAAAAAAGTTGATTTACAAAATTAAGCAAAAGAAAATTGCACATCAAAGGTATAAGAAGCAAAAAACCCAAGCAAACTATGTCGTATTTAGTAGTTTAAGGTCCGAGTGTAAAAAGCTGAGTACATCATGCTACGAGAGTTACCTAGGAAAAGTAGAGAACGATTTGAAATTTAATCCTAATAGATTCTGGAGTTTTGTAAAAAATAAAAGGCGCAACGATGTCGATATACCTTCGACTATGACTTGGAACGAAATTACTGCATGTAATGGCGCGGAAATAAGTAACCTCTTCGCGTCATTCTTCAGAAGCGTATATAAAGAACCCGCATCAGAGGCTGTTACACACCAAGAATGTGATCATCCAGATGTCGACATGGTGGAATTTGAAGTATGCTTCAATGATGTATTTCGTCAGCTAACTCTTTTAAATATCAACAAAGGCGCTGGACCTGATCATATACCAAACATCTTTTTAAGAAACTGTGCTGTTGGTCTCTGTGAGCCAATCACACATATCTTCAGCAAATCGCTTCAAACAGGTAATTTTCCCTCGACGTGGAAGTTATCATACATAAGCCCTATACATAAATCGGGTGATAAAGCCCAGGTGAACAACTATAGACCTATATGCATCCAATCTTCACTCGCTAAATTACTAGAAAAAATCGTCTTGCCTCAATTAACCTCTGCTTTTAAAAATGTGATAATCTCCAAGCAGCATGGATTCTTTGGTGGGAGATCCACCTCTACCAATCTATATCTCTACATCAGCTACATACTTAATGCAATGAACAACGGACTAGACGTACACTCCTTATACACTGACTTTAGCAAGGCATTTGACATGGTTGATCATGAAATTCTGCTACGAAAAGTAAATAGTTATGGTGTACGATCAAGAGCATTAGACTGGCTTCGCTCGTATTTATCTGGCAGACGTCTGCAAGTCCGTGCCAATTGTCATCTGTCAAATGAGTTTGATGTTATATCTGGTGTACCACAAGGATCTCATCTGGGACCAGTTCTGTTCAGCATATTTATAAACGACATAGGTGTGAATCTTAAATCCGAGTACTTGTTATATGCCGATGATATGAAACTATTCAGAGCAATAGGTAACAATCACGACATGAAGGCTCTTCAGGAGGATATCTCTGAACTAGAAGAGTGGTGTGTGATGAATAAATTGCATCTGAACATAAAAAAGTGTGCTGTCATGGGATTCTCTCGACGTCACCATCGAATGCCCGCCAATTATTATCTGTGCGGCCAACGTGTACAGTTAGTCAGTACCATAAAGGACTTGGGAGTGATGATTGACGATAAACTGTCTTTCTCAGATCACATCAACCACATAGCTTTACGTGCATGCCGTGCTCTGGGATTTGTTTGCAGATTTGGCAAGGAATTCAAGGATGTAAAAACCCTTCTCAGACTTTTCTCGACCTTCGTTCAACCAATACTTGAATATGGTTCCATTGCCTGGGCACCATATACCGAACAACAAACTAACAATGTTGAAAAGGTTCAACGAAAGCTCTGCATGTTTTTGCTGTATAACTCGCGCGACGAAAGCAATATGAACGTCAATGATGTATATCTCAGGAACAATATTAAAACTCTATGTAGCAGAAGGCAAATGACGGATCTATCGTTCTTTTACAAAGTCGTCAATGGCCTGATTGACTCACCAGAAATACTGGAGCAGTTCAGATTTATTACCTCTAGAGCCGATCTCCGAACTAGAAGGCTACTAGATGTTGTGCAGGCAAATAGAAACTACGTCGCCTTTGGTCCGTACAACAGGATAGCGAACCTTGTCAACCAACATGCACCGAAATGTTAGGAAGGTTGAAGTCACCAAATACACAAAGATGATTATCATCTAAGCTTTTATGAACAAAGTGAACAATATTATCTGTGTGTGCTTTATAAAAGGAGTAGTTGCTATTAGGCGGAATATACGATGCAATTAGATATAAGGAGCCATAAGCAGGTGATCCACTTAGGCAGATACACAAATGATCCAAAATGGTATCCGAATTCCAAAGAGTTACTTGACAAGCCCGTAATCTCCGTTGTACCGCAATTAGCACACCACCTCCAAGCGAGCAGCCCGTTTATATTGCATCTCGGTCTTTACGAAAGACATTATATACTTTGGCATCAAAAAACTCTTGATCAAAATAGTCCGTACTCAGCCACGTTCCCACAAAGATAATAACACCAAACTCCGAATAAGCCGCCCATGTTTTGAAAGTAAATCTTTACTTCTTTAAACTCACAAACTTTTTTGTTAGGTAGTTGCTAGGCAATCTTATTTTTTCCGGTAGCGTTTTGAATAAATTGAAAAGGTCGAACTTTGACGTCGGCTGGCCATATCAGGCAGGATCTAGAACCTTGCCAAGGAGCGTAGTTGAGACACCAAGCTTAAAATTAATATTCTTAGCTTGTTAATATCAGTTTCTTTTTTAATGAGGGGGAAGCAGGCAATTTGGCCGCTATCAATTGCGGCATTTCTCGCTACATAGGCTATGATATTTTCGGCACTGACAGTAGATTTGAAAGACGACAGATGGATCCAGGTTTTGGATGCGACAACGTCGAGATCCGTGGTTTTGTTGACACCAATTACTACGTCAGTGGTAGTCTGCTTTTTGGACTTTTTTCTTTGCATTCGTGTCCACTGTGCAGGCGATTCCAAATTAGCTTCAGCCGGCGGGAGTGACAGAGCATCAGCGTTTAGTTGAGAATGTACATAACTAACATCATCAGTGGTAGTAGCAGCAGCCGAATTAGCAGCAGAGGCAGAATTAGGGACAGCATCAGCATACGAGAGTGGTCCCTTAGTAGTAGCGGACATTAATGTTGTCACGCCGACATTAATGTTTCCGATACCGACGCAAGCAGAGTCGGCAGTAGCCTTAATTTTTTTTTTTTTTTTTTTTTTTTATTTTTTTTATTTTTTTATTTATTTATTTAATCAAATGGAATAAATCCTTACTGACTATAAAACAAGAGAGCTTATATACTACCTAAAATAATTAAGTAGGACAAAACGAACTGTTCCAAATGAGAGAGACGGGTCATATTCAGAGAGCTCATTTAGCTCAGAAAGGGTTCTGAACAAAGGCGAGAATTTTACATAGTTAGTTTTAGGAAATCCCAGGTAGAATAAAGAAACACGCCGCAGATTATGAGACGGGACGTTTAATGCTAACTTATCCAGAAGATTAGGACAATCGACTGTGCCCTCCAATATTTTGGCCACAAAAGAGGCTGCTAGGAAAGAACGCCTAGTATTTAACGAACTTAAGTTAATAAGTTGACAACGGGAAGTATACGGAGGTATAGGCTCAGAAAATTTTAGACAACGGGGATGACACCAGCGGGGCTAAGAGAGCGAAGAGAGTTTGAACGAGTTGTAGTTTTCGAAGATGTACTTTTCAAAGCGTTGTTGGTAGTTTAAAACTTAGCGTCGGTACACTTGTTGATGTCGCGAGACGCCTTGATTAAATTAGCAAGAGAGGAGAACGCCGACAGCAACTCATCAAAGCGAAATTTACTTTGCAAGGAGCGAACTTCAGCTTCAAGTGGTTCTGTCTGTTTGACGAGTGACAAATTGTCTTCACGCAGAGCATTGACTGCAGCAACCATGCGAGTATTTTCTTCTTTAAGGGCGGTGATTTCGTTTAGTGCTGCCTCTAGAGCAATTGATTGCTTAGATGTGTGTTGCTTGACCAACTTGATTAACTCACTTTGCTCTATATTATTAGCATTACACTCATCCGTGTTGTTGGGTGGTGGAGGCAAACGAAGAGAATGACGCCGGTCGGTAACACACCGATTACAGTGAAATTGCTTACCCGTTTTTAGCAAAAACTCAAGATCAGCTGGCAGAAGGTTAACACAGCTTAGATGAAAAATCTCATTGCACTCATTGCACTGCACTTTATCTTGTGCACGCTCTACCTTATTTGCACATACACACGGCATTGTTAGTACAAAAATAGCAGGCAAAAATATTAAATATTACGTATTAGAGTCACTGTCTCAAATAGAAAGGCACACAATTTCTGCTTTCTGATAGTTTATGTACACATGTATGTTGTCACTCATTTTACGAATTAGAGTTAGCAGGAAAAAAAAACAACAGCTATGGAAACGACCAGAGAACGTAGAAAAAACGCGTCCACGCGCAACGACAGTTCAATAGGAATGAAAAAATTCTTTTGGGTGCAGATTTAAAAAACATTAAACTATACAATGAAGTTATTTGCGTTACAAAAAAATTTGTTTGTTTGCTTTTCAATAATTTTTTTATGAAGAACTCAACATTTAAGCAATTTCTGCGCCTCGTGGACGAAAATTTTTAACAACAACTTCTGTAATAAACTTTTCTGCATTTATATATGAAAAAAATGCGTGCATTTCGATATAGTTTGGTCGGAATGAATTCTTATTTGCCAGCGTGCGCACCCGACTACCGCGGGCATGCGAAATTCGAGCATTAGAAATAAAAATGGAACGATTGAAACGTGCATTTCTTGCGCAAGAAGTCACGCGCGATCCAGCCACGAGATATATGCCCGCAATATGCCCATAAAACGATTGGTCTTTTATATTAATTTCTTGCGTATATCGAACATTGCCGAAAACAAGTCAACTATAATTAAATTATTTTCTTCTTACTTAATATTACACAAACAAAATACATGGGGAAAAATTATCGATCACCAAGTTACCGTGTACCAAGCTCGGTGGGAAGAACCCTATTACAAATTTGATTGCCCAGAATTGAAAAATCAGTACAAATCAGTACAAATTTAAAAAAATCAGTACATTAGCGTACTGATTGAAGGAATGAATAAAATCAGTACGAAAGTTGAAAAATCAGTACTGTACTGATAAAATCAGTTCATCTGGCAACCGTACCTATGCGTAACAATATCTTGGCGCTACCAGTGAGCAATCGTCGCGCGATTAAAAATTTTTCTTCCTCGTCGTACCCGTAAGCTTTTGCGCTGTCCTCGAACTCGCTGATACACTTGACGACATCGCCCTTATCCCCATTGAATGTGTGGAAGGTTTTCTCTAACTGTATCTCGATTGCCGTTAAATCGGAAGTACGGTTCTCGCTGATTGCGGCGTCTGCCTCGGCACTATCAGGCGCTGTCGCGGTTACTATTACCGCGTTACCCATCGAGTACTTCGTGCTGATTTCGAGCTTCCACCGCCTTATTGGCCACGCTTTTGGTTGCCCTTGCGCTTACACCAGTTTCTGCATCGATCGCCACCATCGTTGCATCGTCTTGCGCTATTTAACTTTGCGTTTCACTAATCTTTTCTCAATAACGTAGTGTAGAGCTATCGATAATCGAAATTTGATAGTTCGATAACCAGCCAGCGGCTGTAAAGCTGTGCGAGTAAAATTAAATTATTAAAATAAAGAGTTTTAAAGAAAAGACAGCAATAAAGCTAAGTTCATCACAATTATTTGTTTAACGAGGAAGAAAGGTGCATTAACGCGGCCTCAATCAGGCGATATTTAAAGGATAATTCCAATCCTCTAGAGCAACCGCGTGCACTGTAAGCAAAAGTTAATGCTTTCAAGGTTTTTCTTTTATTATCGTTTTGTGTTCATTTTCAAAGCATATTGAGGACTTCCAAAAGATGCTGTAGTATAATTGGTTAATAAACAGCTGATCCACTTCGTTCAACTTTAATACGTCCGCTCACAAAAAGCTTGCGCACCTCTTCGATTTTTCGCGGAAGGAAGTACCACAGCAATGACTTCAATTTGGAAAACTTGGTGTTTCGGTAGTTTTAAAAGGGGTGCTTGAGTTGATAAAGGAAAAAATTTGCAATCAGTGTTCGCGTTTGTTTCGCCAAAAGGGCGTACTCCACGGGAACTAAAATTTCAAGTTGTTTTGTTATTTTCACCATATTCTGTGAAAGCATTGCAAAATGTTAATATCGTTCAAATTATTAAAAAGTATAATATACGACACACTTTTCAATTTTCGCACCTAAATACGTTCCCAAAACATTCCCAGCAACCACAAAAATGTAGTAGCATGTATACACACTTGGTAGCAACTGCAGTTGTCAGTGGAATGTTGGCAGTTGCCATCCGTAATATCGTTTTGGCAACTAGCAATGCAACTGAAGTTTGATTGCTAACGACAATCGACCCATTAGTATAAACTACGACTGCTTCGGTTGACTCGTTTATTCGGAATGGAATCTTTGTAACAACCGCTGCCATTTGCTTTTGATATATGTTTTTGTTTTTAGCGCTGCCAGATTATTGGCATATTTACAGTGTATTCTACTACTTACATTCTACTACAAGAGCTTAAGTAAACTCTGGTAAATGTTACTCGATCGGTACGTAATAATTACCAAATTGAAGGCGAGTCTTACTGTTACTGATTTATGATAATAATATGATGAAAATCGTTCAGATTATAAACAAATTATATATCTTAAAATAAGAAAAATGTTGAACAAAATTTTTTTGTCATTTATTTGCAAATTTTATATAGTATGCATAAACATAAGTAAACTAATTAGGGTTTTTAGTGTGGGCCTGTTCACTGTTTCCATACTCATTTGCATAAACAAAATTTTTCTACGATGATGGAAAATGATGGCTTTTCTATTAGAGCTACCGAAATTGTTCCTAAATTTGCAAAAATTCGCAAACTATAGCCAATATTAAAACAAGATTAGAATATTGCGAACCAGCGACCTAAATGCACGCCAGCAATATTAATGCTGTTCTTTACATCTTTTGTCTATAGGCCAGTGCAATTCTCAAGAGAACAATTACAATTTTATTGAAAAAAGATAACTTTGAGATTAACGATAAGCTAAACGGCTGCGAGAATTGATATTTGACATTATATTTTACGTTAACGGATTCATTATCTAATAATATGCACCAAACCTTTTTGATGAACCCAGAATTTTTAATAAGAATTTGTCTTATTCGACTAGTGTGCTGTGGGTCACTTGGCGGCCGATGCGCGGGCTCTTACAATTAAACTAAAATACTAATATTTTGCAGGCTTGTTATTGACTTCATGATACAATATATTTTCTTTATTACAAAGGGATTTGAGAAAAATTAGATTTTCGACACGCCCTAGTATACAACCTATGTATGTACTTTTAACTTAACGTTCGTAACGGTATATTTTTCTTTTTGCGGAAACAACAACTACAAAAGTTATTAAGGGTAAAGTTCATATGAAAGAATTTTTTAAATCAAAATTTCTTAAAAAACGAACACATGGATTTTTATTTATTGGAAATTTAATTCCCTTTAATTCGATGTACATACATATGTATATTTATTTATTAATTTGTTTATGAAGTCTATGAACAGGATGTTCTTACAGACTACACATATTAGAAAAAATTAAATATTATAAAATATTATTGAGATTGCTTAAATAAGATTCAAGCCGATTTTGGAAAATACCCTTTGCCATAGAGAGATCAAGGTCTAGAGATCTAGAAATCGTATTGATTTCTTGCAAAGTTATTTTTAGGGGGGCATTTCGTCTGTAAAGAGTTTTGCTAATAGCGACCCTAAACAAATCAGTATGCGACAAATCGGTTATGCAACGGTATTATGTTAATTAATTGACAACGTGAAGAATAGGATGGGATAGGGTCGGAGAAGTTAAGCGATCTTAAGGTGTGTCGGATAAGCCCGCGCTGGACTGACTCAATCCTGTTTATGTGGACTTGTTAATAAGGTCTCCAAATAAAGGCAGCGTACTCTAAACTTGACCGAACAAATGCAGAGTATTAGACTGTTTGAGTATAGGGATTCAAAAACGCAGTACTGTTGCATCTTACAAAAGCAAGCATCGAAAATGAATTAGCTGCGATATAAATGATATGCGTAATAAAATAAATTTCGAATTAATATCCGAAGATCGGCAACCGTTTAAGCCGCTATTGCTGTTGTGAGTGATTACATCAATGACAGCACATTTCAGGGCACTTACTTCAGTAGTTAAATCATCAACCCTAGTGGCATTGTTGTTGCCATTTGAAGATAATGACTTGGTTTTTTACTAAGTCAATCTGGGTGGTTAATTCTCTAATCTTCACTTTGAAAGCCGTCATAATCGATTCCAAGCCTATTTTCTGAGTGCCAAAGATCGACTCAAAAATATTGCAAATTTTGTCCGGAG